GATGAAAGCCCGGCGTTAGCCGGGATGAAAGCCCGGCGTCAGCGGGGCGGTCCCACTGTCTTTATATATAAAGCGGTAACTTTGTGTGCCTGTTTGTGGGTCGGTTTGTGCGTCTTTCCGAAAGTCACTTAGGCATTATGAGGAGTGTGAATGTCACGTGAGCAGGTGAAGAAGCGGTTATGAAATGGAAGTTCAACCAATAATGTTCATATTGGTACTCTAACAAGTCGTAGGTACGCGGTAGTGGGCATGTGGTGCACGCATTAGCGTGCGTAGCCCAACTGGTAGAAAAGATAAGCCAGAAAAGTGCAAAGTTGGCGATGAAAACGCGGCATTGGGTGTAATTAGAGAAATGTGAGCTGTCAAGAAAGTAGTAAATCAAGAGTTGGACTAGAATGTGACGGAAAAGGTTGCATGGAAGACCGATTGGAGATTGGACGACTTGTCCAAATGTGGGTGGCATTGTGTGCAGCGGGCTACAGCAAGCCACCTGCGCACAACGTGTGCGTCATGGTGCAAATAGTGCAACCCTCCTTCAACGCCGCTTTCGCGTAGCTAAACCCGTTGGGATGCCCTCTCTGAACCCTATCTGGACCGCTTTTCGACCTATCAGCGTCATTTGTGCTATTCTTGGGGTTCCTACGGTGAAATCTCAGACACCAATTTGCATTTTATTGTGAAGTGTGTCTTTAACGCTTTTACACACTAAATGTAACAGCAAGACAAGCAATGTTCCTCGCAGGCAAGGTTAAGGCAGCAGTAGATTTTTTGAAGTTATGTTATATTCTGCTGAAAACATTCCAGTGGTAGCAACTCCTGTCGCAAACAGTGGAAATACTGTAAAGCATCCGTTTTCCCACGCCATCGGCAAACTAGCTCGGAAACTCAAACAAGAAGCACAGTTTTTCTCAGATTCAGCCGCAATTGCGACAGCTTTCAGATCCTTGAGATAGGACATCATTTTGACGGAATAAAGGCACCTCACCAATTAACAACTTTGGAGCGGCTTGGATACAGTCAAATTCGGTGCTGCTGTGACAATATTTCCCTCGTTAATTCCAGATTCTTTATGAGCGGAGTATGGTTGGAGCACATGACACTGTCGGTTCAGTTGATGTCACCTGAACAGATGTAATGATTCGCTGTAGCACGTCTCGAAATACTGTTCATTCGAAGTTTATCATTCCTGGCCCTAACGTGTACCCGCAAACTCACCTTCCAAACAGAACTGTAGAGGTGTTCAAGAGACTTATAATAGCATGTTGTATAGCCAATGGATGCTCAAGTCAAGTAGGTATCGATACGAAGTTTGCTACTTGGACCATGTTTGCCTTAGTGAGGCACGTGGCAATGACAGCCTCCACCTTTTATGACACCTTTTTCGCAGTCAAAGTGCAGCCCTTTCTTACAGACATGCCCGCAAATCCCTTGTAAGCACGATGAGTAGAAAATCTGTGATGTAACTGCAAGGGAGATGGGCAGTTGAATCGGTCCTGTGTAATCGGTTCGCCGTATGCGGCAGCCGCGTGCTAGTCGCCTTGTTATCGCAGTTCTAGCATTCTTCGTACAGCTCGATCGATATGCGATCATTGCTTTCGGCACAATTCTACCGTTAAATCTTCTATCTCTGTATCCTAACTCGCTGCACTGCTTCTGCTTTATTCTGCTACATTGCTTCGTGCGCGACGTCTCCTGCCGAGAAACGATCATTTCGATTCAACAGCATCACACCCTAGCGGGTGGCGGAACTTCTCCCCAAACTCTCACGGCCAGCGGCAGCAGTTCCGCAGCGCCTTTCAGTGGTAATTTAAGATTTCCCTTCACCGCGTGCGATCGAGTGCGGGAGCCGACATGCCGTTCGGGGAGAAGATACCAGACCTCACACTAGCTGCATTCTTCCAACGAGAAAAATACACTTATATGGAAGGGAAGTATTGGCTCTTAGGCATAGTACTACTCCATATTTGCGCTATTAACCCTTTAACGACAACGAGTATTTCAACGTGGTTCGCCCAGCCCGCTTTCTGCGCGACCGGCAGCTACCGGTGGATTCCAATTTCCCAAAACAAAGCCCTTTTACTGGCTCACTGAATTTAGCAGTATCTCCCGCATAATGGAAGTATTAAGATATGATTTTATTCATCATATATAATTGACTTATAAGTGGAGTTAGGGTTCGGAAGCAATGGAGGATAGAATTTTGGAAAAAATGAAGGCAGCAGGAATTTGTATAACAGTTAAGGTTTTGAAGATCAGTTTATACTTTGCAACCGTCATGCTGAGGTCAGCTGGAAAGTCACATGTTCGCAAATCAGGGCTTCTACTGTCTGCAATGCTTCCAGGACGTACACCTCCAGGACACTTGGGGAGTTAATCAATTCCATCTGAGGGGGGCGCCCAGGCATTCGAATTCCAGTTAGAATCGTTGTGGTGTATTGAATGCGTGTGTGGCCTATACAATGACCTGCATTGGCCAGCTGATGAACAAGTCAGTGCATTTATCCTCCCATACGGGTCTAGTACCAATTATCGGACGCCGGAGGGATGAAGGCTTATTGGCCAAGGCGGGAATCTATCCGGGATTCGGATGGTGAGGCAATTGATAAATATGAAAATATTGAGTAAATTTTAGACTTGCAAAGAAACAAAAAGTTATGGTGGTCGTATCTTTCCACAACTTATTTTTCTACGAAGGCCTTATGTTGAACGAGAGAAATTATGGAAATTGGGCAACTTGACATTATGTAAATAATATAGGCCCTTTGTGAAGGTGGTTTGAAAAGTGAGGGTCGCGAGTGAAAATGATAATCTCAGAGTCATATGCTAGCAGTTTTGAAGGGTCCATCATTTTTCATTGCGCCGTGTTTTTGGTCCAATTCATTTCCTTTCTTCCAGAAAGGGAAAGAGTATATGTAGTACAAAAGTAATCAGAAACTGCTTTACTGGTCAGATGCATGAGGAAAGATGGAAATCCAAAAACAAGGTCGGTTCCTACTCCTCATCGATCAATTCACCAACGTCCAACGACCATGATGATGCACCGATTGACAGAGTAGGTAACCAATTATGAATAAGGCAAGCTAAAGAACGTTGAACTTCTGAAAAAGAAGATTCAGAGTTGGCGTAATTCACATCGAAGTTATTTTCAGTTTTGGATAGTGTTTATGATTGTTCTGCTGAACGGTATCGGTGTGTTACTTCCATGGAATATGTTTATCACTATCGCGCCAAATGTGAGTTCACTGGACTGTTTGTCTCTACATATTTTCTACTACTAAACTTTGATCTATCTGAACTTCCCACCTCAAAGTCTTTAGGTGTTCCAATCTCTCATAAACCTCTGCCGCCCCGCAAACACAGCTCTTCCTATCACTTCGTCTTATTATCAGCGGGGATTAACACTTGTTCAGGAAATTCGGGTCACCCAAGCCGGAGCATGACAAAATTGGAGCGATAGAAAAATTCCGTTCTCAGCATCAATTGAGGTGCTCAAAGGGCGACCACTGCAGGGTTCAATGGTAGCCAGCTACAATTCATTGGCCAAATGAAAGTGGTAGTTCAGAAAAGTGGAAAAGTGGCGCAGAAACAGCGATACTCGGCGTACTAGGTAAATATAAGGCTTCGAAAGTAATGAAATTGGGTTGAATTAGGTGTGGCCAAAATTACATAGAAGGAGTATTTGAACGATCTGCCTAAATTTGTGTACCATTGCGTATATAAATTGGCTACAGTAGGCTGCTCGTGTGCAAAGTGTACTTACCTGTGCAAAAGGAGGTGCGACCTTCACAGCCTCTACAACCCATGAGAACTCGTCCGCTTTTAGATGCGTACATCGGCTAAGCCGCTTTTGGGGCCTTTATCGAGTCCTATCCAAACCGTTTTCGGATCCGACACATTCCTTGCACTACCCTTAGAATTTACAGGCTCGTTCTCGGGAGAAGTCTCGGAAACCAATTTTATCGTGATTTGAGACTTGAACGAGAGATTGAGTTATTGCAAAATGCGTCCAATTGATTACGCGGTGGGAAAGCAGGGTAGAAAAGAGCCTCTGATTGAGGTCTAAAAGGAGATCACGCGAAAGCTTCAAACTTGAGGAAGAATGAAAATCCGCGAAATTCATAAGTTGGTGAAAATTATTTCAATACGTTCTCAGCAGAATCATCTATGCAAATGTAAAATTTCGAAACTGGACAAAACTGGTCTTCTTCACTGTATAATAGAAGGCTAAAAGAAATGTATGCAATATAAAGGGTATGAGAGCAGAAACTCAAAGAATTAAAATAAACAAATTGAACATACGATTGAATGCAAATTGGTTTTTCAGTACTACGTCGAATACTGGTTTACAGTCGACGGCAATAAAACGAGCTATGCGAAGAGCTTTATGAGTGCTCTCGGAATCACCGCTCAGATTCCAAATTGCCTCATGAGCATTATCAATATGTCTCAAATCATTGGGTGAGTTCCGCCTACTTTACGCTCTTTTTTTGTATTTACAAAATCTCGTTATATGGCGAATACAATTGCGATGCCTGCAAAGCTTTATCCTGCGACGATTAAACATTAGCGAAAGAGCTAAGGTGACTAAATGACGAGCTCACTCATTCAGTGTTTAGTCGACGGTCTGCTGGTAAGAACGTAAAGAGCTCAAAGAACCAAGTTGAGATTTATAAGTGGGAATCCCGTTGGTCCCCATGCCTTTCGATGTTTTGCACAGTTAACTCCAAGGCACAGTTCACGACTACTTGACATGACCCTGTCACACTCAAAGGCAGCATAAATGACAGAGTCTGATTGAAAACGGCCCAGAGAGGGCGTAATGAGGGCCGTAAACCGGCTCAGCCGACATACACACTCAAAGGCGGACGAGTTTTCACGGCGTAGTACAGGCTGAAGGGGTTGCACCATCCGCACAGGTACGCACACGTTGCACACACGCTTACTGTGGCCAGCTATACACATTGGTTCACACATTGAGACAGCTCGTCCCAGTAATCCTTCCATGCAGCTTTTGTCGCCACATTCTCAACCAACCCCTGACTTTACTACTTTTTGAAGTCTGATATTTCTCTAAACACGCCGATTTTTGCGTTGTCTTCGCCGTTTTCCCACTATTCTAGACTACCTATTTCATTATTTGCCTGCAGCAAGATACTTCAAAATATTGTGAACTGTGCATTTGAAGCCTGAGCAGCTAAAAAAGTGTGATGGTAAGAAGACCACCAACAGCATGAAGATGAAAAACTAAGGAAAGAGTCGCACAGCCAGTCGCGGCAGCATGCATGGAATAGAGAAAGGAATCGAAGGAATGTGATTGTAAGGAATCGACTGCGCATATCGAAGCTGAGCTCCCATTTTAAAGGAATCAACATCTCTGAATAAGTACTCAAGATTAAGCGAGTGCACACGAAATTTACTTCCAGGGGTTCGCTCATGATTCGAATCGCCGGGCCGCTCACTGCAAATTGTGTAAATGTCGCCATCATTCTTTCTCTAGTCATTTTTCAGGATCCGTCTCAAAATGGTTAGATTCTAACGGTGCATGACGGGAAAACTGGGAGTACTAAATGTCCTTTTTCAGCCATGAATTGGTTCTACATTGTATCACTAACAATAGTCATGGTGATGAACGCATGCAACGGTCTATACCAGGTCAGCTAATTGTGCTCCTTGTCTTGAGAATGAAAAATCAACACAGAATGTAGCTGTTATAAAGTTGTTTGCATGCATCAATGACTTTACACTCCGGAGTTTTCAAAAAATGTTTCTCCCAAATGGTCTAAGAAGAGAGCGTGGAAAAAGATAAGAGATGAAGTCATCGGGCACCAATCATTTACATCTCTAGAATGCCCCCCGCCTTCGACTATTACTTAGAATCGTAAGGGCGTATTGAACGCGTATGTGCCCTATACATTGACTTGTGATGGTCGGCCGATGTACGAGCCAGTGCTTTTATCCTCCCAGTCGATTCTAGTACCAATTAATCGACCTCCAAGGGATTGAAGGCTCGGTTGGCGCCAGGCGCATCGATCGGGGATTTTAACCCGTGACCAAGCGTTGGTGATAGTGCGCCCTTTGCCTTTACGCCATTTCCGTTCAAGAGAATATGATGCACAACAAAAACATGTCCTCAATCCTCCCTTCTCAATGGCCTTCCGGGCATCCTTTGTCATGAGAGAATGACGAACGAATGATGCATACTAGCCACTTTCATTGTGCATAATCAATTTCAGAACTCGGTATTCGGCTTAGCAGCTGACTTTCCTGCTACCTACACAAACGCTCTCGTAGTCGGTACCAATATCTGTGGCACCTTCACCAGCCTTCTCTCAGTCGTGACCACCGTAGGTTCGCGAGTTTTTTGCTGTTTACATGGTAACGGATTTGGAATTAATCCTAATTAAGCATTTCCGACCAACTACAAGGCGGTTGCATTGATATACTTCTCAATTTCACTCGGGACACTCCTTCTTTGCGGCATATCGCTGATATATCTCACCCGACTCGTACGTGATCAATTGCTTCTTTCTCACTGAATTCTTTCCAAATTAAGCTTTTCTTAAGAAATTCTACAAGTTCTACGTGAAGAAGGGGGAGCTCACTCGTATAGCCGAACATTCTACCCGGCCTAGCTTACGACAGTTTTACGAGACCTTCAAAAGTGTGAGTTCGTCTATTGAATTTTTATTTCAATCATCTTGAGATCTGCAAGTGGAACGAACAGCTCCCGGGCCAGTTGGCAAGAATGTCTTAACAACTATTCGTGTTGGTTTAAAAATAACTTCTCCTTGAAAGCACAATTCATGTGGTTTCCGAGATCTCCCTCTAAAATCAACCTGCGACCCCTAAGAGAGGCTGTACTGTCAGAAAAGGCCCAGAGCGGGCGTAATAAGTACTCCATAACCTGCTCAGCCGACGTACGTACTCAGAGGCGGACGAGTTCTTATGGCGTTGTAGAGGTTGTGAAGGCTGCACCAATCGTAACGACACGCACATGTTGCACGGGGGACGGACTATTCGTGCGATTCTGGGTGCGCGCGGCAAATTGCGCGGCGGGTTTCGTGGCGATTCGAACGACTCTGACGCCTATTATTGGGGCACAAACTTGAAGTAGAGTAGATTAATAGGATCAGCTGACCATACCCAACTATTCTCTTCAAGAGTGTGCCCCAATAATAAGCGCCAGAGTCGTTTGAATCGCCACGAATTTTGCCGCTCCATTTGCCCCGCGCACCCCGAATCGCACGACTGGTCCCACACGGGTATGGGTATATACGTGCGTCCGAGGATGCACGCGGCAAATTGCGCGGTGAAGTGCGTGGCGATTCGAACGATTCTGGCGCTCATTGTTGAGGCACAAGCTTGAGGTAGAGTAGTTTAGTAGGGTTAGCCGGTCCTACTAATCTACTCTACCTCAAATTTGGGCCCCAGTGATAGGCGCCAGAGTCGTTCGAATCGCCACGAAACCCGCCGCGCACTTCGCCGCGCGATTTGCCGCGTGCATCCTTGAACGCACGTAAGTTCTGTCCCCCGTCCCACACCCATGTTGCACGTAGGCAGCTTACCGTATCCAGCTGTANTGTGCCCCAATAATAGGCGTCAGAGTCGTTCGAATCGCCACGAAACCCGCCGCGCACTTCGCCGCGCGATTTGCCGCGTGCATCCTTGAACGCACGTAAGTTCTGTCCCCCGTCCCACACCCATGTTGCACGTAGGCAGCTTACCGTATCCAGCTGTACGCAATAACAGACACATCTGGGCACCAGGTACCCCTTACATACAACTTATACCGTCACATTCTTCTCCAACTCTTGTTATTATTACTCTTTTAAAGCCTTATATAAGAGCCTCTACGTCACCTTTACATTATTCACAAGTGTCACTTCCATTATTCAATGAGTATGCAGTCAAACTTCCATCGTCCGTTTATAACCAATTGGGCACCTCGCCTCTGTTTTACCTAAATTCCTCTATTTTTAGTGCTGGATGCAACTTTTGAGTATCTTTCTGGTATTCTTCGTCACTCTATCTGTGTTTCCCACCGTACTTGCCGGTACTACGCCCAATAAAAAAGGCGAACCATGGAACAGCTCAATTTCAAGTAGGGAAGATTTCTTAATTCATGAAGTTCTTTTCGAACAATCTTTTTCAATGTGCTCTTCACATCCGTCTTTAAGAGGAGCTGTATCCTGGCATCACAACATTCTTAAACTTCAATCTGTTCGCTGCTATCGGATCATCAACGGCACATTTCATTCAATTTGTGAGTTCCTGACACGAGCAACATGGAAAACACCTTTCCCTCTGAACTGGCATAGCATTGCGAGTTCCCCATTACGGAGTTACGGTCAGATCACTAGTCAACTGTCGAGGTAGTAGGTACAGTTTTTTTTCCAAAACCGTAACCATAAGCCAAGTAGATCGCTCCATCCGCCACCACATTCCACAAACCCATCTTGTCGAAGAGCAATCGAACACTGTGACCAACACAGATAACTTTACCATTCTATTGAATCATGATTGGCATTTTTATGTAATTTAAAGCCGGGACCAAAGCTGCTGATGGTTCCTGTGGTCGCACGACTCCTTTTCATCCCATTCTTCATGCTCTGCAATTACAACGTGGATGATCGCGTTATGCCCGTACTTTTTGAAAATGAATGGTTCTTCATCATTGGGAACACACTCATGGCATTTACGAGTGGTTATTTCAGCTCACTTGGTATGATGTATGCTCCCAGGTAAGCAATAGGTAGGCACTGCTATTACCAAGAAATTGTACGACAAGATGATTGATGATTTCTTCTCAATTTCAGAGTCGTACCGAGCTCCCTTTCAAAAACCGCGGGGATGGCAGCTGCGTTATGTCTTGTTACGGGTGAGTTCTCTAGGTTTGTCATCACATAAGTGAAACGCTTAAAAGGCATGATTCACTATAGAAATGGTTACTGAGTTCTTCTCTAAGGAATACTCAGAGGCGATAGAAAGGACCCTCTCGCGCCCAAAAACTCGACGGTACGGGCATAGTGGAAGCATTGTTCCCGACGCGCGGCCTTCCCCCCCCCCCCCGATCGATGTCACATCAGACGAGTTTCGAGGCGATACAGATTGCAATTATTCGTTGTAAGACCCATACACAATCACATGATCGCCGAGTGATGAAGCGATGTTTCTCCCATTCTCTTTTCCTCTGCTATTCTTTTTGCTGCCGCGATCCCTTATTTAATTTCCTACCCTAAGAAACTGAAAAAGATGAGCTATTTTTGCCAATACTAGGGCTTTTTTGTTTACCTATGCTCATAAGTGAATGAATTTTTGCTTACCGTAGTCAGTTATTTGCACTAGAACCCACACGCACGCAATGACCCACATTGTATAGCTCGTATTTTTCGTCATAATCTGGATTACCCGAAATTACCGTGAACTGCGCCTTTAATAAAACAGTCGACGGTGCTTGGAGAATTATTGTGCAAGGAATGGGTGGAAGCAAGGCACACGATAATTTTGGTGTTTTTAGTTTTAGGCCAAAAATTAAATTGATAGCCTAGTCTGTAATCGTGCAAAAATGACGAATAAAACGCTACAGTAAACTGCCTGCCTGCAACGTGGGCGTTCCGGTGCAAATGGCGCAACCTCTACAGCCTCCACACCGCCGCGAGAACTTGTCCGCTTTTGGGTACGAAGGTAGGCTAGGCCGATTTCGGGGCCTTATACGCTCTATTTAGGGGGACGGGAGGAGGATAGCAAGCATGATCTTATAGGCGTCTTTCCCACGGTACCGCGCCGCTTTAGGCCCCGCCCCTCGCACGAGAAGACCATTATAATGACGCGTGAATCGCACCACACCCTATTGTCCAGTAACCCTTCTTCGTGTCTATCCTCACGGCCATGATCCAACTTCTTGATCATGTTGACGGCGGAGACAGAGTCTTTCAGAGACTCTGTCACTGCTATGGCCACGCCATTTCGTTGGGTGTCTTCTCCGTTGTAGAAGAGTTTGACACTCTCTCCAATTTCTCTGGCCTTTGCTCCCTTCCACCGGGTCTCCTGAAGGCATAGGACTTGGATGTTCCTACGCTTCATAAGATCAGCTAGGGTCCGGGAACTTCTCCCCTAACACGGCGTCGCACTCGTCGCACCCGCCGCCTATGGCAGGACTGCGATGGAAGATTGGAGCGCGCAATTTATGGGGTGGGGAGTCCTTTAACTATTTGAATTGGCTGGCCGCTCTTTTCATTTCCAATGCGGTTGTGAACGTCGTTTATATAGGAGGAGTCATTTCAATCAATCAAGTCTAAAAAACATGAAAACTAAAAAGAAACAGAAGGAAAAACGATAAAATCCAATGAAAAAGCAAG